TCTAAAATTCATCTTAAACGTCTTTATACACATATACTCTCCAAGAAGAAAAGTTTGCTTATACAGTACTTTTCTAATATATCTATGAATATAGCTAACACTTATCTAACAATAACAATTCACTCTTAGCACCATTAAATTGTATTTATTTTAAACACTTATACAACTAATAATTATTTCTTAGCTATGCAAGTACTCAGTCTTTAGTTATGTGACTGTATTATCTATAAGCTACATTTCTATGTCTGTGTGTGTGTGTATGTGTGTGTTTGTGTATCCCTGCAGACATAAAAATGAATGAGTGACTAGAAAATTAACTTTTGTGGAAAAAAACATTACCAAGAGTGGGATATACTTTCCAATCATGTTTACATATGTATATAACAGAATCACAGAACAGTTGATGTAGGAAGGGATGTCTAGAGATCCTCTAGTCCAACCCCCCTGCTCCAGCAGGGACACCCAGAGCATGTGGCACAGGGCGGCATCCAGGCGGGTTTGGGAGACCTCCAGAGAAGGAGACTCCACAACCTCCCTGGGCAGCCTGTTCCAGGGTGCTGTCACCCTCACAGTAAAGTTCTTCCTCATATGCAGAGGGAAATTCCTGTGTTTCAATTTGTACCCATCGCCCCTTGTCCTGTCACTGGCCACAACTGAGAAGAGTTTGGCCCCTTCCTCCCTACATTCTCCCCTCAGGTACTTATACTTATTGACCAGATCTCCTCTCAGGCTTCCCTAGGCTGAACAGGCCCAACTCGCTTAGTATTTCCTCATAAGGCAGTTGCTCCAGTCCCTTAATCATCTTTGTTGCCCTCCGCTGGATGCTCTATAGAAGCTCCATGTCCCTCTTGTACTGGGGAGCCCAGAACTGCACACAGCACTCTAGGTGCGGCCTCACCAGAGCTGAGGAGAGGGGCAGGATCACCTCCCTTGACCTGCTGGCAACACTCCTCCTGATGCAGCCAGGATCCCATTGGCCTTCTTGGCCACGAGGGCACACTGCTGCCTCATGAATGGTCAACCTGATATCAACCAGGACTCACAGGTACCTCTCCGTGGAGCTGCTTTCCAGTAGCTCAACACCTAATCTGTCCTGGTGCCTGGGGTTATTCCTCCCCACATGCATGACCCTGCACTTATCCTTAATATATCCTTGTATATCCTTAATACATATTATATAACTATACAAGGATTAACATTTTTTTCCCATTTAGAATTTAGATTGTAAGAATCCAAGGAATCAAAATAAAAATTGTTAAGCCTCAAATTTTAAAATTTGTCAAGAAAACCTCACGTTGTGAGGATTAAGATCTGAGAGGACAGAAACAATTTCACTCAATCTGGCTTAGAAACCATGTAGTTGGAAATGGTCTGAAGTGGTTGGAGCTGCAGTCTCCTTGTGCCTTACAGTAAAGTTACCATCAGCACCAGTGCAGAAACCTGAGAGAGCTGCATTCCTGACAGTATTCACATTGTTTATACTGGCGTAGGTATTCCCATAAGGGAAAGAAAATAAACTCTACTCTTATGGGAGAACCTATACCTCAATATTAAATGAATATAATAATATCAATGCAGAGCATTATACATCTCATTGGTTGTAAGTCATACAAAAGTCTGTATTTCACAATAGGCTTTTTGCTTTTTGAACCCAGGATTTGGGTCTGTGTTGTTTTGCTGCAGCCCTCACCTATAGAAATTAGGCAATTTGTACCATACTGAGGTGGTTGCTCTGGAAACAAGCTACAATTTCATGCAGTTTAACAGCAAGAGCCGAACTCCAAGATGAGCAAGTGTACCAGCTCTGTTTGCGTGTTTGCTGAGGCTGGTGAACTTCAGCGCTAGAAGTTTAATATTTTTCCTGTTTCTCAGCCATTCTGTGAGGGAGCCCCATGAGGAGCTTGTGACCGACTTGAGAAAACACTGAAGCCATAAGCACCTGTCACAAAAGGGAGCTGGAAAAAGAAACCTCACATGCGCCAGAAAAATGGTACCAGGCAACATCTGCCTTTGCAACAGAAGGGGGGGATAGGATAGGAAACTACAGAAGGCTCCAGATTCCGCAACATTTCTGGGAGCAGCACTTCCTTGTTGGCTCCCCGCTTCCCTCTCCCCTAAGCCTATAACCTCGGACAACATCCCACTTTCCAGCAAAGACAATTGCCCAGTTCTCACATATCCTTGCTTGCGAGAGGATCAGTCTATCACCACCCATTCAACTCATGGTATTTATTTATTTATTTATTTATGACCACACTGTTTCACCAAGCCATTTATCAAACAACTTGGAATTGCTCAGACACTCAAAGTGGACCCTGCTTGCATAGTGTTACCTTGGGTACCTTAGTGTTACCCGATTCTATGACTCCTAACACCTTAGCACCCAAGAAGGCAGTGTTTCTTACCAGACTTTCCTCCAGGGGTTAGACAGAATGAGCTGCAATCGTCAGAGGTGCTTTGCTGGGCTTCCCTCTCCTGCACGTCTGACTGCACAGGCAGAATTACTAAGAGGAGCCGAACAAGGGCAAGGACTTGCTGTTCATCCCCTGCTTCATTGCCATTTCTTACGCAGATGCTCTTTCCCCACAGGAACCATACGGTATTTGCCCCTTCTCAGCAACATGCAGGTCGCCCTCGCGTGCCACCCGGCAAGTCGCGTGCCCGGGCAGCGCTCCTGCTCTGGTTTTGCCAACGTGCTGGCTCTTTGCACACGTGGCAGAAGGCTGGGAACACAGGGAAACTTCAGCATCCAGCACGTGAATCCCATCCAAACTAGCTCCTCAGCAGATGTCTTAAGCTACAGGGATTCTTCCTTTTTCTAACAGTGTACTATCATAAACTCCAAGGCTGGGATGAAGCCAAGTGAACCTGTGCACTTGACAAAATGGTAAAATGAGGGCTCAGAAGCCATCAGGATTTCAGTTTTCTGTTACATAGTGCTGCTTGCTCTGCATCAGAGCCTGGCCACTGTCAACACTTCTGAATTTGTGCCATTTTTAACTGCTTGCAGGCTGTTCTTTTACCCTAAATAGACTTAATCAGTTCATTAATTAATGGGTATTTTAGCAGACATAAGCAGCCATAAAATGGAAGATTATTTGAGACCTCAGCATAACTGCAGTGCCAGTAGAGCTTTAAAGGAACCATTTGTTATATTCCATTAAACACCAAAACTAAATTGCCCATATGTACTTCATGTAAAAGTGTTTCTATATGATTTGCACCAGTAATGCAGATGCTGATAATCAGAGATGGAGAAAACATGCTCTTCTTTCCTCCCCTCTTCCTGCAGCAACATAATTCCCATTTCCAATAGTAAGGGAGAATTCTGTTAACCAGCAGTATTTTCTAATTATTGGTTTAAAAATTAGCTTTAAAAACAAAATCCAGTTTTTCTTTTAGGCTGGAAACTGAGAGGGTCTGGTGTTCTGGTAAGAGGAGAGGGGAAACCGGGCAGCTACAAGAGGGCTTTCAGATTGCTAGGCTAGCATCATTTTTAGGACATCGAGATATTTATAGGGTCCAGGCCCTGCTTGAACTCCTCTGGGGTGCAGCATCAGTAGATCCCGCAGTGACAACTCAGGCTGAACACACCAGGCAGTATGGGAGAAAACCAGCTGCAGAATGTGCCACCAAAAGGCATGGATAAAGTGAAGGAAAGTACCATGGTCAGTCTAGGAGAAAACGTTGCCAGACAGCTCATGTGCGCCAGACAGAGGGATGGCATGAGAAAAATTGGACTGTGAAACATGGGGAAAGAGAATCATCCGAGAAACTGAACAGCAGCAACGCAGTAACAAAACCCTTGCGATCCCCAAAGTTCCATTCCTGGCTGTGATCGCCAACAGCGACACCTCCCCTGCACAGAAGGATAAATTGTCAAAACTGTCTCAGGCAGATTTTCAGACAAGGGAGGGATCCAGTGCCAGGATCCAGCATCAACTTTGTCTAATGCAACTCAAGCATAAATATATGAGATACAGAAAAGGTTCAATCAGTTTTCAATTGCTTGATGGACACAGAAACACTAAGTTTTCTTTCCATAATGTGCAAATGTGATCAAAATGCTTCAGATGAATGGGTAATAAAAAGTTGGAACATGCTTGCTTTTGCTCTATTCTTTCTCGCAGCTTTCTTTACAGTGATTTTTCCTTAAATTTATGCTTTTGTATTCTAAAATGCTACAGTAATTCTAAAGATGCTCACGTTCTCACATGGCCAAGGAAACTTGCAATTTCTCCCTGTCCCTTTATCCCTCCCCTTTAAACTTACCTTCTTTTACTCTAAAGAGCATTGAACAAGCAGCATAGTACAAGGAGTCATCCACAATTGATAAGCTCTATATGCTTGCAATTGAATTGTCACAGCTCTTCCTCAGTAATGCAAAGCAGCAAGCACAAGAAAAAAACCCCAGGGGATGTGAGTGCGTGGGAGGGGAAGCAGGGGGGATTCAATTAGTTATAAGGATGGAGAAGCAAAAAGCTGATGTACTCCCACAACAAACAAATATTTGGAAAGGACACTCAGCTTCACCACCAAATTTCTTTGACTAGCTGGGTAAATCACTGCCTCTTGGCGAGGCAGCGACACTGGCTCTACACTTGAGACAAAAACTTCACCCCATGTACAGCTGGCATGTCAAGGTTCCCTGTGGTCTCACTGTCACAGACCCCACTGCTGTGTCTCACCTTTCGGGTGCCCTTCCCTTAAACTGCTCCTTTTTTCTGCTAAGTGCAATGTACATGAGCTATTCAAAGACAAATCCCAGAAATCTAAGATTAAAATAATAATAATAATTGAAAAAGTAGAGAGACAATCTTTCTATTTTATAGTAGATATAATTTAGCCAAAATTTTAAAATATTTTTTTTCTGATCTGACCAACTTTAAGACATTTTAACAATTATCTACACTGGTTAGGTAAAAATTACTAAAAAGCATAATCATGAAGAAAAAACACTTTAAAAGTGACATTTCATAGTAACAGCATCTTTTCAGTTAAAATAAAGGTTGTAGTTCTAATATATTTTCAAATGCAGACTTAACTCCAAATATTAATTAACAGGAGAACTGAGTATCCACATCCGTTCCTTAGAAGTCTGCATCCAGATGGAAGTCTCCCAAGGTCGGTCCTGATCTGCAGCCAGCCTTAATTTTTTTGCATGTTCAAAAAAGGATCAACACAGGACTAATGGAATTGGACATTGGAATGGAAGTGGAGAGCAGTACAGAGAAATAATATCATAATGGGAAAGTTTTTCCAGGGGAGAAGGACAACTGGGTCAGATTACCAGCAAGCCTACAATTTAAATTAAGGTAATCTCTGTATTTGCTTTTCTCACTGACCTGGCTGTTGTAAAGGATAAACCTCCACTAACATCAGCTCACGTTGTACTGATCCCCATATACAGCCTCCCTCCCTTTTTCAAAATGATTAAAATACCACTAGAGTATGCCTGAGATTAATTTTGCCCATTAACTTTTTACACATCTTATAAAAAATCCGATAAACAGAACAATTTCCAAACAAATCTTCCTCTATTAGTAGACAGGATATAGAAAAGAAACAAAAACCTCTGTGAAAATATAACCCTTTGCTCCCCCTGCCCAAGACCCGAGACAAGAATCAATAGTTACAAACTGCATATCAGTGACATTGACATTCAGCTCTATGCCAGGCACAGGCATCATCCTCCAGCACAACATGCTTTCTGGCCTAGCTTCCAATGTTCTTGCACAAGCATGAGCAGCCTTGATAGGGATTTTCCCACCTTCCGTCACGCTGGATGATCTTGATCAGTTGCTTAATTTAGTTTTATTGATTTCTTCTTCTTGGCTTGTTGTTTTGATATGGTACCCAGAGCAGATTCTGAACTGCTTACTGAAGGCTGAGGCAGCAGTAGTTTTCCAGACTGTGTTGGGTACTTGGTTTTCATAAGGACTTTAAAGAGGGGCTGGGACAGCATATGCTTCAGTTGCTTTTTCATTCCCTTCAGCATTTTTTGCTTCTGGCTTTCTTCTTGCTCAGTAGCTTTTCCTCCTTTGGAGAGAAACCAAAGGTATAGAATGTTACCACAAAATAAGAACTTGTATCGACCTGTTTCACCAGAGCTTCACAATTTTAGAGGCAGATACTAGTCTCAAATCTCTCTCCATCTGTCTGTCTCTCTCTCTCTCTCTCTCAAGAACATTCAGCTCCAAAACACTTTCAGTCACTGAGGACAATTGCTGGTCACTTAGGATGTTCACAGCAAAACAAGGTCAAGAAGAATCCTGACCACAGAATAACTATGTCCAAGCTGTCACTTTTCTGGTAACTCATTCCATTTCTCTTCTGGCTTGAGAGTCCAAAGACTTGGGAACCAAAGGAAACAGGACCCCAGTAGTTAAAGCTAAGAGCTCCTGGCTTGGGCAGAAGTTTCTATGAAAGTTGTTGCCTGGCACATGCCTCATTTTAGCATCAAGCAGAACTGAAACAGGAGCCCTTTCCTTCTTATGAAGGACTCATGAAGAACAACGAGGTGCTCGTGTTTCATATCAGAGGAGGATAATGAGCAGAAGAGAAAAACAAGGCAGGAAAAGACTGCAGTTAATGTGATCAGAGGTCTGAATTTGAGAGGAAGGATGGAATCAAGGTTTGCTGTCCTGTATATTGAAGATACATTATTAAATCCTTTTCAGAAGTATAAGTTGCATTTAATTTGTGGGTAGCATGACTGAGATTTTAATTTGCCTACAGCAAGTTATGGAAAAATCAGAGATTACTCGGTTAAGATTTACTCAAATCTTAAAGCATGAAGCTGGCAAGATTCTGGATGGCAATCATCAAATGCTTAAATCAAAAGCCACAACACACTTGGAGTAGAGGTACAGTTTTGAAAGCCATCTCAAAGCAGAGAATCTCTAGAGTATGCAAAAACAGGTAGCAAAAAGCTTGTTAGGTGAGAGAGAACACTCCTAACAGTTCAAATAGAGCACTGACTGGTGCTTGCTTGGACTGGGGTTCAGAACTAGCTAACCCAGAAGAAAAAAAGAGAGAAAGAAAAGAGGAAAAAAAAAAAAAAAGAAAGAAAAGGCAAATACAGTTCAAAATTGAAGTATCTGTGCATTCTGCAGCTAAAAGCATAATGGCAGCTTTAGCTGAAGTGACCTGGCCAGCAGTCCATTCAGCCTTCAAAGGATTGGAAAGAAATCAACCTTTTGATTCCTAGTATTAGGACACAATGTGGCATTTCACAGTTCACCTAAGAAGCAGTGCACACCTTCACAGCATCCAACTAACAGGCAGAGCAGCAAGGGTCCTGTACACTCACGCAGGCTACTGCACAGCCTACAGAATGTTTCATTTTAAGATATAAAAAATTATTCTACCTCAAACAGTTAAGGATTCAGGTGATGAATTGAACGTAAGTATTGCCATTTAGCTTACACAACCTAACCCACATAAAGTTCCCAGGATTTTTGTTGATTAGTGTTTCCTGGATGATCTCACATCCCAGAGCTGCCAGGCTCCTGTCCTGCTGCCTGGCTAGAGGAATAGAGGCAGAAGGAATAGGCAGAAGAGGAGAAACAACTTTATTTTCTTTTGACACAGAAGGAGTAAGACTCAAACACGACAGACCAAGCTGTCAGTTTATCCCCAACTCATTGCCAGAATATAAGCAGTTGTTATCCCACATCATGTAGACTTGTCTGTGACTTACCAGAATTGTTGCACCTCACTCCCTCACTTGCTTTAGTATCTACCCCACAATCACCCTGAGAACACAAGCACTGACTCCTACTACTAGGTAGCAAAACTCCTCCTGCACGTTTTAAGATACAGGAAGGTTTCTTCTGGACATCAGCGCTGCAGGACCAGCTAAGCACACCCATAAACAAGCATTTCTACTTGCCCATAAGGTCGTCATCATCAAGATCAATTTCAAGAGCCTCGGCAGCTTGCTGGAGCCAGGAGTTATGCTGCTTTGCCCGACTGTTGAAAAATTCAACCTTCTCAATCTGTCGTGCCAAATTCATCCGTTGCTGCACAACAAAAACATGTTTTAGGCATCCTGGGTAGATTCAAATGCTTGGCTCTTCTGTAGGAATAGAGTTTGATCCTACAGAGAGCATGTATTACAAAGCAGCTGAGGTTACAGCCTCATGGAGACATTATTGACTGCTCCCTACCACTGTGCTAGCATACCCCTACATAAATGCAGATCACTGCTTGCTAAATGTTTTCCTGCTTCAGAACCTGGCTAGGATCTGACTTTTAAGTTAACTCAATGACTAAATATGCCTAAATGCTAAATGACACAGCACTTCAAGAACATCAGGTGCAAATCTCAGTTCAGATATTAATTTCCAAGTTATGTAATTCCATCATTCAGCTAGGTCTTTACCTTACCAGTTTCTATAACAGGAGACAGCCACCAGCTTTACAACGCACACCCCCAGCCCCTGAAGAATTAAGTTCCTGCAGGCCCTGTAGAAGGAGTTATTCATGTTTTCAGAAACACACCTGACCATGATCAGGCACAGGTCAAGATACTCTGTCAGTCTCCTCAGCTGCTTACAGGTTAAATAGAGGTGTCCAGCAAGCTAAATCTGATCTGCAGCCTTCCAGCTGGGCCAAGCTGTCTTAAATCACTAGTCTCTTACAGAAAGAAAATCTGCACTGACAGTAAATAATAATCAAGCCAGTAGTAAGATCTGCTGCTTGGAACTTGTCTTATGTAATGGTTGAAGACACCATCATTACGTCTACTGAAGAGCCAGGTGCTACACAGTAACCTGCACAACAGTCAGGATGATTAAAACAGCAGAAACAGAAGAAATTAAACTTGGAGTTGGTTAATAACATGCTGTCAGTCAGTTCTTCTCATCAGATCAGTGCAAGTTCTTTTAAAAGGTGCTTTCACCTTTGTAAAATCGTGTCCAATTTTGGTCTCTCCTTCAGCATTTTTTTTAACTTGAACAGAGACGTGTAGAGTCAAACAAGGGGCGTGCTAATGGAACAGACATTAAGACTCAACAGCACTAGTTGTCTCAACTACTATGGCCTTTGATTAAGTGCAGGTCCAAGAGTAAATGAGAGTTGACCCAGGTGGAAGGCCCAGAGGCTGTAATTACAACTGCAAAGATATCTGCTATGGGGAAAGGACTGCTCTGAGAATATGAGAGAAGATTGAGATGGGGAAATTTAAGTATGGAAACAATGTTTATCCACCCACAAATTGGTAGTGTGTGATAAGAGCCAAGAACTACTCATCAAGAGGCACAGAAAGGACCTTTGAATAAACAGTCTCAAAAGAACAGATTTGTTTTAGTAATCAGACACAACCAGGGGGAGGGGTAAGTGGGGAAAGGAGAAAAAACCTCTGACACTAGTGAGAAAAAAATGACTGTGGAAATGCTTGTTTACCTTCCTGTTTTAGAAGGCTGCACAATATTTATATATTCCATCCCCAGCCAGATTCCCTTCTAATGCAACACCTAAATATGCCCATTTGTGTATGGCTGCTGTGACCAAAACTATTAAGAGAGTGATGCTGAGATTGGAAGTGCTCTCTTATGCAAGAAGCAGGAATGTTGTGTATTGTTTTGGAAATCCTAGCCATTGCTTATTTACATTATCTTATGAAACACTGTATAACAGGGTAAATTCTTCCTAATACAGCCAATATCTTATAAAAAGGAAGCAGCTGGTTCTGACAGGGCTGCTGTGGCATCACTGCTACAGGAACTTTAATGACTAACTGTACAAAACGAATATTTACTTTCCTGTACCGGAGCTGGGAATCCAATCATATGACGCTCTATGTCACAATACTGAAGAGAAATGTAGATAATGCTTATGTTATAACTCATTTACTGAGAATCATCATTAAGAGGAAAAAGGTAGACTGTACTAAATTTGAATTTCAAATCCAGATCCTGAAAAGTAATTTCACTTGAAACTTGGAAAAAACATGAAGGGAAAGACGTTGAGTAAAGCAGCTACTACTTGCACTGTTTTCTCCTTACCTTTACAGAAGTCAGGTACTTGGTTTCAATTGGGAAGAACGGCAGCTCTTCACTCTTCTCCAGGGTTTTATAAATTTTCCTAAAATTGACTAAGTCATCAGGACCAATCAATAACAAGCTCAGGCCTTCATGGGCCGCTCGGGCTGTTCTGCCACTTCTGTGCACATACAACTCGGACGTACGAGGAACCTGCAAATATTCAGACATGTCAGAAAACTGAATATGAGAAGTGAACAGCAGCTTATCATGCTTTGGCCAAGAGGCCACCACATATTCTCAGGCTTTTTGATAAACTGCCTTTTATATATACATATATACTGTACATAACAGAGCTGAAGGTAAGAATAGAAGACACTGTCTGGAGACACTTAGTTCCTTGGTTTGCTCATCTGTGCTTAGCTCTGAGGAGTCTTTCCTCACTTCAGACCTTCTGCATTTCATTTGCAAATCAGGGAAAAAAAAAAAAAAGTGTCCTCAGATTACAGGTATAGGTGAGTGTGAGTCATTTTACACTTTGGGATATCAAAGTAAAATCAGAGATGCCAAAAGCAGGAAGAACTATATCTATTAAGTTGCTTCTCATACAGTTGTGCATTTATAACATGCTACTCACCACTGACAGTCACTGCAGCAGTGAAATCCTTAAAACAAAGCACTATAGGGCTGTAAAAATATGATTAAATCTCTACATGAGATTTATATAGGTCTGAGAATCACAGCTTTAGAGTGTGCAGAGTTTAGATGAGCAAGTGCAGGCTTCAAAACCAGAACGGTAAAAGTAAAAACATCGGAAGTGTTTAACCTGGTAATGGATGACATGCTGCACGTTAGGAATATCAAGACCACGAGCTGCAACATCCGTTGTCAGGAGGACACAGCTGAGAAAGAGATAACACTTAATAATCATAAAATATAAGAGGAAATCATCTGCCGAAGATATGATTGAATACAAAATTTGCTACAACAATTTAAGAATCAGACTCGAACTGCCTCACCTGCTAGAAGCTACTTGCATGCCACTACAGAAAGCAATGTCAAGTGCTACATCAGAGGCCATCTTAAAACAGCAGCTCTTAAGGAAAATAAATTAACAAACGATTAATTTTGCAAGTTTATTCTCCTTCCAATACTTGACCTCACTACTTTACAGGATTCTGTTTTCCTATGCTTTTGTTCTCTCCCCACTCACAGGAACTAGTGTAAAGCACTATTAGATGACCTAATCCCACTTCTCAGCAGGGAGCTGTGCTCCCTTTATGTTCATTTTTTCAGTACTTTGCCCAGGCCAGGCTTAAAATCTCATTAATTTGCCATGGCTGTATAAGTGATGATGCTGTTGATCTTGCAGCAAGACACGGGGGCTATTACATGTTTTATCAAAACAAACAAACAAAAAAAAAACAACTACAACAACAACAATAAAAGAAATGCCATATAATTTACATAAAAGATTTAACTAATAATTTGTTTAAAGATTTAACTAATGATTTGTTTGTGCTGAAATGCCTTCTATCAAGTTTCATTTCTAAAGGTTCTATTAGTTAAAAGCTCGAAATATAAGGGACAATCCTGTTTTTACAATCAATGCCCCCTCACTCTGTAGAAATGAATGAGTTCTCAAAAAAGTCATGCTTTCATATAAAGTCTTTTTCAGAGATAGGAGTCTCCATAGGGCATGCAACAATTTGTTTTAAAGAGTCTGCTAGCAACTAAGAGTGACTTGAATGGAGCAGGCATTTAAGATTTTATGGCACTTGACTGCGTACCCTCTGGCTATGAGGTTCAAAGCAGTACTGTGCTCTAAGGCTTCTGGTTACACAGCACCAGGGCCAGAAATTTGCACCCCAAAGGCCATTCCAACACCAGCAGGAAACAACTTTGCGAATGACAGGACAGGCCCCTGACTGGCCAGACCTGACTGTCCACATCTGCTGCAATGCACAGCTGTCCCTTCTCTCACATTGCTCTAGCATTGCTCAGGAAGCTAATCTAAAACTGTAAAAATATAAAAGCAAATAGTCTTCTGATGATTTAGTGATATTAATCAATCTACAGCAAGAACAACTGAGCACAGGCACAGGAGAAGCATAGGATGGTTGTAAAAGCACACAGCTGGGAGCGGAGCAGGGGACTCTTCCTTCAGCAGGAATGAGCCATCATATGGTAACATAGGACAATTCAGGTTAAAAGAGCCCTCAACAGGTCTGTAGTCCAACCTGCTACTCAAAGCAGGGTCAGGCAAGAGATTGGATCAGGCTGCTCAAGGCTGCATCTTTCCGAGTCCTGAAAATCTCCAGGACAGGCTGCCTGCTCCAGTGCTTGGCTGTCTCCGCCAAGTTCCTTCCCATATCCAATCTGGACCTCTTTGGTTTCGACAGCCATTCTCTCTCACCCTCCTACCATGCACCAACCCTTAAAAAGCCTGGTTTCATCTTCTTGATAACCTCTTCTTAGGATAATTAGAAGGCCAAAGCTTCCTCTTTTCCAGGCTATATTAGCCCAGCTGCTCCAGCCTCTACGCACAGAGCAATTGCTCCTCAGGCATCTTGGTGGCCCTCCAGCAAATTCATTATAACTTCAACAACCCTGTGGAATCCCATTCCTAAGAGGAATAACCTGGGCTCACGAACCATAGACAGGTAGCCTAGTCAACTCCCCCAACCCACTTCTCCTCAGACTCACCTATTTCCTACCCCTCTTCATTCCCCCCATCCTTTCATATGTCTTATTTTGCACTAGGAAGCAGAAAGTCAACTTACGTCTCTCGCTCGGCAAACCTTTCCAGATTTTTTAGCCTTTGCTTCTGGTGCATGTTGGCATGTAAAGGAAGAGGATCACAATTTAAGATGGTGAGAAGAGAACTGAGGCGTTTTATACAGTCTATGCTGTTCGCAAAGACCATGGTTCTTCCCGGATACTGTAGGAGGAAGTAATAGAGATAATAGTCCTTCTCATTGGTATCACAGTGGATTCTGGTTTCTGTTAGAGTCTCAACGGTGGCCTCTTTCCTTGTCAAGTCTATCACCTTGGGTTTGCCCCTTATTCCTACTTTTTCCATTAGCATTTCTAGTTTGGTCGTCTTGTCAATTTTTTTAGCGTTCTTCTTCTGTAAAACTCTTGTGGGAGCCTGATGGACTAAAGTCAGCGTGGCAGAAAAAACAAATGTCTGACGTCGAGGGTTATACTGAGAATCATTTAACATTTCCAGCAATTGAGAGAGCTCTAAGAAATGACCTCTTTCAACCATTCGGTCTGCTTCGTCGATCACAAGGCACCTGCCGAATAAAGACATACAGTACAAATAGAGGAGTGTAAATAAATATAAATCTGATCATCTTCAAAAGAAGATTTCCTGCTGAAGATATAAGGGAACCTCTGCATATTAAGCCCAAAGGAACACCAGGTATGCCTGGGTAATTATAGTAGCCTTCCATATTTCTTAACAAAAAAACACTTTTTAAAGTAAATTTCAATATTCTAGTAAAGAAATAAAGTCATCTTACATAGTCCGAATTATTTTAATAGTAAATAAACATGATCAGTGGTCACTGATACCTCACGATTCTTCCCAAGCAGTTAGCCCAAAAGGCACCTTTACCTGAGCTGCCGAAGATCTGAGAGATGGGGATGTCTCTCCTTAACTAACTCCCACAGACGGCCTGGGGTGGCGATGACAATTTCTGGCCTCCGGTTCAGTACACGCTCTTGCTTCTGTGCAGCCATGCCTCCAACAAGGATGGCAGTCTTAATACCTAGAAGATATAAATAATTTGTCTCATTAATTAATCTGCAGAGTAGCGCAGAAACCCTACATTAACTGTAAGCAATTTGTTTCTGAACTAGAAGCCATCTACTTTTGGAAGCTCAGATATCACCATGGCTTCTTTCATCCTACCTTTCTTCAAAAAATACCCTGGCTGTTGAGGAACTCTTGGCTATAGTACTTGATTCCTCTAAGGCTAGTGGAACTAGCTGGGACTTTTCTTCACCACTGTTGGCTGTGCAACCCATGCTTGCAGACAGGAATTTGATCAAAGATGGTTTGAGACAAGGTCCACATCAAAACGCATTTCCTCTCCTATTACAGCATCTAGACTTTACTTAAGTAGCACATTTTTACATCCAAACTGCATTGCTCAGATCAGGACTGTACTATGTAAATTGATTATTGTTGGCTAGGAGTTAAAATTAGTCATGTAATCAGCTACAGACTGATGAGCACAGCAGGGTGTCTGAATGCTGAAGCAAGACGTGTTTAAGTTGTTCACTCTTCAATAATTACACAGTCACTACTGTGGGAGAAGGGGAAAGTTATTTCCCAGGTTTCCCTGTCTCAAACAGTTTCATATCCTTACTTATTCTAACAGCTGCGCTGACCTTCTCTCTTGGAAAAGAGTGCAGCAGGACAGAATGCTATCATCATTGTTACTTGGTGGAAATGCTGTAGCTTGACTTTCATAAAAAAAAAAAAAAAAAAAAAAGTCAGACAATTCAGCAATACCCTAAAGTGTCATTAATTTCCAACATCCTTAAGATTTAGGGCATCACTTCCTATCTTGCATCATCTAAAACTGGGACAAAGTTATGTGTATCAGGTTACCTGTGGCTGGGTATCTAGCACAGATTCAGTGTTTCTAAAACAACAGTCAAATAGTCAAACACAAACATGTTGGAGAAAATATTTTAAAATGTGGTATCTCACATTACCTCTCCACTTCCATTTGCATCTCATCCAGGAATCTTGCTACATTTCTCAAATGTTAGGGACTAAGAATTATAACTGCCTGAAAAACTACGCTAATTTTATACAAAAGAAACTGTGACACAATTCATGGCATAACACCAGAGCCCAGAATCAAACCCAGCAGCATCTGGGACGCTGCCATTGAGATCTACATACCTGTAAATTTTGCAACTGCATCAATGTGGTGTTTCACTTGAACGGCTAATTCTCTTGTGGGAGTAAGGACCAGTCCTAAAAGAGGTTTCTTCCTACGAGAGCCAAGAGTTTGTGTCTTGTCCACAGAGTCAAAATCGGTATTTTTCGGCACCTTCACATCGCCTTTCTTGAAGGTTGCACCATCTTCATCTCCACTGTCTTCAGCCTGTTGATGGGTTAATTCTTCTATTTCCTCCTCCTCCTCCCCCTGGGACTCTTTATCATCACCGTCATTCCTGCTCATCAAGCTGTTTGATTTTTGCCATTCCAGCACAGAGTGAATCATAGGAATTGCAAATGCAAGTGTTTTGCCACTTCCTAAGAAATAAAACAAAAGAGTTACATACTGACAGGACATTAGATTTACTTGAAGAGAAAAACAGCTACTAATCACATCCTGCTTTAGGACCAGATTTTAGAAAGATGTCAGCTTTATAAAACCAGAAAGTAAGCAATAGCATCTTCCCTTGATATAGCTCCTTGAGGTCATCAACAGTGTTATTTCCTATGAATCAGGCATCTTTCCAATCTCTGGCAGGTCAGGCAGATTAATTTGTTCTGAAAGCAGTTTTTAAAAGTCATAGTTGCAGCCAAGATCTTTTTAAAGAACCATATGCCCGTAAGGAGAATACCGTGCCCTAATTGACAGTCCTGATCAATGTTCTCCAAGTAAAGGAACAGCAAATGAGGCCAAGGGCAGACTGAAAAGTATTTGAAGGATTCACTCCATTTTCCATTTATAATACTGTGTTTACCACTTTTTGAGAAGTTATATTTTGACCTTTATCCTCTTAATTTCCTGACTAAAATTTGATTTAAAATATAGCATTCATGTTAGAGGGAGGAGGAGGAGAGTTTCAAAGAAAATAAATTCTTCTGTAAGTATAATTTCAGGAGTTCACTGTAAATTCCCTTGAGTTACAGTGTACCTGAGTCATGTCCCTGGCACATACTCCCCTCTGAACTTTTTTTTATATATATATATATATATACACACACACACACACACACAGAGAAATATAATCTATTATATATAAATATAATATTTAATAACGTATTTTATAGCAAAGAATTTAATAAATTATAAATATAAAAATATATAATATATAAACTATTTTATATATAAACACAGAAATATTATACAAATCCTGACATCAACCCTAGATAAAGTTCTCATAAATATCAGCTCACCACTGTGCCCAGGACCACAGTCCTGACCAGTTCTGCTGCAAGGTCTCCTCATGTCCCTTTTCCCAACTTTCTGCACGCCTGGGAGATTCCTTCTGCCTTGTACACTTGAAACAGAAGAGTTTATAATCTGCATTTGCAGAGCACTTACCCAACAATATTCTGGCCCATTAAGGGATCTCACAGTAATGCTGCATTACCAGAAACTCTATTAAGATGAGCACCACTGCTGGTGTTGAACAGAAAGCAGTGCAATCCAGCTAGGGCAAACATTCAAGCAAACCAGGAGAAAAAGCTATCTTGGTAGCTATGGGTCTTACGGCTCAAACTGATTTAACCTCTTCTAAACTGGTCAGAATCCCACGGAGATATAATTTGGAACTTTAGCCCAAAGCTTCACTAGTTGTTCACAGTTGCCAAGTGGCACTAAAAAAATGTGGCTGGATGCACTACAAAACCAACAGGCCATGGCTGCCACATCCAGGGTTTCTCACCGTCCCCTGTGCTGCTACCAAGGGAGGGAGGAAGGGGAGCTGGGGCAGCTGATCAGTTCCCTTCCACCCTGGGGCCCAGCACTGAGGAAAGCTCAACAGGCCTCTCCCAAACGCAGCAGCTCCCAGTGTCTGCACGTGCCCTCAGGTTTCTGCAGGACCACGATGTGTACTGGGCTCTCTGGAGGGAACTGTGATTTCTCTTGGAAAAAAACACAGGAAAAGAGCAAAATACAGTTCTAGTAATATAGGATTACACAAAATTAGAAGAGCAACAGAGAAGCATGGGTACATCCTGCTACTAACTGCACTTTCCATGTTACAGATAAAGGTGCTTGCTCTCCTCCCCAAAAGGCATCTCTTGCAGCACAAAAAAACATCCTTTAAGTTTCCAGTAGCATTTTCCATAAACACTCCCTGTAGGGCTCTCTAATCCTATCAACCTATCTTCTAATTAAAATAAAAATGCAAATGACTGCATATCTTATTAAAATCAGTTACTATACCTTCACGTTCAAGAGCAGTAAACGGCTTTACAAGATAAGCAGCGAGATAAGGCAGCTGGAACAGATTAAACGAATGCCAAAATGCCTTTAAATTAACGTGCATAACAATTTTGTTTCCTATTTTTAGTTTTCTATGGAACAAATACGCTGCACTAGTACTGAAGACAAAACTTCAAAGGTATCAGCAGCAGCAGCAGCAAAAAAAAAACCTCAAAGGAAAAGTAATGCAAACACCTTTCACTATGTTAAGATAATAAAAAACCCACAACAAATGTCATTAAGGTGAGCAATGCTGAAAGAGAAAAGCAAGAGCTGATCACAAAGTGGATTCAAGATATAACTTAAACTGAATGGAACAAAGCGTAAGCAGAAAGAATCACTTCAACTGGCAAAACCACATTCAGAGAACTAAAAGGAGGCAGCAGATAGGCCCATTTTGCTGCAATAAATACACAGACCATATTTAAAATAACTAATGCTCTGTGTCCAGTATGTCCTATTCCCAGCCCTAAGTGACTGCTCAATCTTCTTCAGAGGAACTTTACATATCGTACTTTGAAAGGATTAAAATCCTGTATCATATAAAAACGAACCTAAAATGCACCACCTTTAGAGGGAATTCAATATGCACAAGCTACAAGCTCTTCTACATATGAAAACCCTAAAAATGCTCTTCCTGTTAGGAGAGGAATGGGAAGCTCACTGCAAATTCTACCTGTTTCTGCAGCGCCAAGAACATCCATGTTATCCCGGATGGCAGAGGGCAAGGCTAGTGCTTGGATAGGAGTCGGAGCACTGAACCCCAGGGAACTCAGGGCCTGCAGCACCGGTCCAGGCACAAACAGGTCCTTCCAGGCAGACACATCAGCTTTGTGATCAGCTGACGCAGATAACACTTTTGTTGTCCAGTTTTTAACTTTTTTAGAAGTAGTTACTGTTGAAAGAGATTCCTGAGTTTGAGGAGTCTTCTGCTTAACTCTCTTTTTCTTCTTTTTCTTTGAAGCACTTTTTGTGCTTGACATATTCTCAGCCACATGTCCATGGTCCTCACAGTTCTCTTCTTTTACTGCTTCTTCACACTGGTCCTCTTTATCAGCTGGCACATCCACATGTGCTCCATCAGGGTCTCCACTTGTGCTTGGAACCACCCTGGCACTCAAAGCTTTCTTTTTCTTTCTCTTTTTGGGAGTGACAACAGGCTCTTCCTCCTCCTCCGTCTCTTCTTCAGAAGCATTATCAGCTTTTCTCTTCTTCCCTTTTACCTTCACCACTTTGGAGGAACTCACCAATTTATAGTCTGTGAGTTCCTCCAAGCAAACTATGTCTTTAAACTGCTCGTCAGCAAATAGATTGGGATCAATTTCCACATTTTTCCATTTTCCAAGTACTTTAATTCCTTTTTGTCTCAGTTTAAAGGAAGGCCTAAGTTCCTTTTCTTTTTTTGCCTTCATTTTCACCTAAAAAGAAATCAAAATAATCAGAATTACATTGAACACATCCACAGAAAAGGAAATGCAAGGCTTATTGTTTTCTTTCCTTAGCAATGTAAATAGGAATGGTCTTAAGCATAACTGCAGAGGAGCAGGCCTACATCTTGCTCCTGCTTCAGCACTGTTGGGAAACATCTGTTTTCCACTCTGGAGCATTCAAAACAGATGTAGGATGCAGTCCATGAACTTTATTTGACAAATTAGCACTAATTGCTCTAAACCACATTTTGCAATGCTGCCTACGTTAAAAGGAATCGTTTATCTCCTTCAGAAAAAAAAAATGGAAAAGGGAAACAGCATTTCAGACCTCAATGAAGTGAATGAACAAAATCCACACGTGCAGCAAAGCCTTTGAGCACAGACCTACGGCTTTCGTAAACCAACCAGTGTACTACGCAATTTATATTTTAGTAAGTTTTGCTTCTGGAATGGCCCCAGAAACCAGCCTAGAGCTGCACACGCCCGCCTCCCCGCCGCTGCGGGCCCCAGCCTGTGGCCGCGGGCAGGCCCGGGCGCCGCGGGCAGGCCCAGCCGGGAGCTCCGCGGCGGCCGGGGTGGAGAGGCCACCACCGCAAGCCCGGTACCGCTCTTTGCGCCCCGCCGCCGCCGAGGCCACCCCACAGAGCGGCGCTACGGGGCGGAAAGGAGGCGGCGGCCGCCCAGAACTCACCGCGAGCCACAGCGCCGGCCCCGGCGCCCACCACGTGCGTCCCCGGCGGGCGCGGCCATGACAGGGCCAACGTCACTGCCGGGCGCCCGAGTCGGCGGGGCGCGCGTCACGAGGGGCGGGGCTACGGGTGCACGCGTCACGAGGGGCGGGGCTGCGGGAGCGCGCGCATGCGCCGGAGCGCGCGGCGGGGCTGCGGCGCAAGGGGAGGGGGCGGGCGGGAGCAGCCCCCGAGCGGGGCTGCGGCGCATGCGCCGGGGCTGGTGGCGCCGGGGCTGGTGGCGCCGGGGCTGCGGCGCATGCGCCGGGGCTGGTGGCGCCGGGGCTGGTGGCGCCGGGGCNCGCATGCGCCGGGGCTGGTGGCGCCGGGGCTGGTGGCGCCGGGGCTGCGGCGCATGCGCCGGGGCTGGTGGCGCCGGGGCTGGTGGCGCCGGGGCGCAGGGCGGGCGCAGGGAACGGGCAGGGCCGGGGAGAGGCGCCCGCAGCGACAGTTGCGGTTGTTTCTTCTCCCTCGTGTCCGCAGGTGCCTCCCGGTGCCCCCGAGCAGGAGCTCTCGGTTGCGGGGAATCAGTCCCCGTTGATGCAGATCCCAGTGCGGGGCACGAGGGGCGGCCCCCGGTCCACGTCCTGACCTTAGCGAGGCCGAGATGCATTTGAGGCTGTAGGCGTTTTAAGAAATGGATTGAGACCAAGGGGAGCCCCGAAGTGAGCTCAGGGAGCGGGATTTGATTCGGTAGCTTGATGTTGTGGTCTTGGGCACCTGTGGCCAGAGGTTGGGGGGAAAAAAGGAAAGGTCAGTCCTCAGCAGTTAGTCTTTCTTACACGGGTTCAGAGTTTGTAACTCTGTCTTGAAATAAAGAATTGAAGAGTAAATGCTTGCCAGACTGTCTTGAATTATGCTTTTAGATATAATTATGGAAATACTTTTGCAAGGTATAGGAGTATTATGGGTATTATGGGTTTTTTTTCCTCCAAAAATCCATTCTTGGATGCAGCTCACTGCTTCTCGATCAGTATATACTCTATGTACTAAGGGACTGAATCACAGTCCCAAAATTATAAATCAACATATATATTTGCAATCTGGACATGGTGGAAACGCGAGGCATTAACTTTCTGAGTTGCTTTGAGAAAGGCATAACCAGAGGAACTAAATGTGCCCTTAATTCTAGCAATACCATTGATCTTCCTGAGTTACCACAAAGCCTCTGTAACCTCAAGGAGATGCAGCCCCTGTGCGTGGTGTTTATGGGGAGTTTGCGGTGGTGTCCTAGCAGGACGTTGGCTAATACACAATCTATAAGTACAATTCTGTTACTGACAACGAAAAGTCAGCAGCAAAGCAGAAGTCTGCTTTTTTTTCCCCTCCAAGTCTTCTTTAGATAACGTGTATTTAAATACCAGGAAGGCCTGGATGTGACTCTGTGCCATGAGCTGTAGGTGTCCCTGCATGGGACATTGGACTAGATGATCTCTAGTGGTCCCTTCCAACCTCAACCATTCAGTGATTCTGTGTGAAGTGTAGGTAACAACACATATTAATATTTATGAATCATGCCATTTGTATGTTGGCATAACTCAGTACATGCAGGTTTGATTATTTGGTGAATAATTTTGAAAAAAAAATTAAGCCAATAGATCTTAGGGCCCAAGGTAGATTAAGTAGCTTGACATGGAACTTAAACTGACAACAGAGCCTTTTTGTCCCTTCCAGATGAAAACTTAACTGTTCAGTGGCCTGGAGATCATAGAATGCTGCTGTACAGTATTATATATTAGAGTTATTTTGTTAATATTATGAAGATTTATATAAAAGATTTCTCCTAAGGCAGGTCAAGCTAAAGATCTTTTGACCAATACTTGTAATCTTGGGATTGGTAATTTGGTAGCTAAATTCATTGGCAGGAACATTAAATCTGCATGTGAGCAACTCATGTAAGTTTTCATTTAGTAATCAAACCCAGTATTCTTTGGTATATCTCTTGTTTTTTCTTTGTTGTTTATGGGTAGGTTTGTATCTGCTTAACTATTAGTTTTAATAGCTGCTACTGCCAGTAGAACAATATAATTTTATCATGATTTATACTGATGATAATCTTACTAGTTTTGCACAGGAAAAAAAAACGTGCAGTCACTGGCCTGTGGACTACTGGAAGCCTTTTCTGCTTCGTGGACTGTGAAATTTGCTCTTCCGTCTTTGTTTGTCACGTTGGATTAGGCCTAGCCTCCGGGTCCTGAGGTGGAAAGGTAAATTTTGGTCCTCTTGAGCTGAGACCTTTATTCTTAAATTGGAAAAATCTGTAATATCATCTCAAACTGACTAGTCCTAGAATATACTGCCATGTAAATAAGTGGCAACATTTTCTCAAGATGTTCTATTCTGTATTTCTATATATGTAGGCTGTAAAATATACAATTGTATATACAATATACAATACAAGGCTGTAAAAATAACAATAGCCTTGGAAGAGGGACTGTTTGCTACTTTGCAACTAAGTTGCTTACTGATTTCTGAAGTGCATTTTTTGATTTACAATAAGTTTTATCAAAAATACGTTGCTGCTTTGGTTAATGCACTCAGAAAAGCAGCACAAGATAATTTCCAGGTGTGTTTTAAGAGTATTGGTATATTTAGTTACAATTGCAAAGAGCTCTTCAAATACAAATGCATCAAGGTGAAGATCTTTCTGCACAAACGAAGAATAGTGGAGGGGCCTATTCCTAAGATGAGGAAAAAAAAATCCCAATAGTTGCAAATGCAGTTAGATGAACAATAGGTACTTTAGAATGCATTTTGAAGGAAAGAATAATTAAGGAAGTGATCAAGATAAAGGAGAATGAAATAAAATGCTATATTGCTTAATTAAGGGAATATTAATTCAGGTCATTTAGTCTTTTGTTTTTGTTTTGACAGGATAACTGGTTTTCTAGGAAGAGAAAATATAGTTGATCTAATCTAACCAGAATTCTTCAAAATATCTGCTATATAAGAAAAGATTAATTACAAAGATTAAGAGATAATTGTTAGGTGCCAAAGGAATTGGTCAAAGAGGGGTGGGAAATGGGTATTTAGTTTGTGCTGGGGCACAGGTGTGTTTATTGATGGACTAAGCTGATGGACTACCCATCCAGGTGGAGATTACTAAAGGAGTTTCTTAAGTTTAGTTTACAAGATTAATATTTATTTCAAACATTCATTAATGACCATGACACAATATGGAATTTGCTTCTGACAAAGTAATACAGAGGAGAATTGCGATATGAAATATTGAAAGGACTTTGAGGCTGAAATAATGGGATGAAACTTGCTTACCATGCAAAGTGCAGGACCACTCAGTGATGGCTAATACTGAAAATTTAGGTTGTATTTCAGGAGCTAATTTGTTTTAGATGACTCTGGATGAGAACAACCTCATGTATCATTTGACCACAAGGTGAGTGTAAGCTGCCAGTGCCTTACATTTGGTAAGCTAATTCCTGAAGCTCTTCACTCTCCGTAGAAGGCACTACTTCCCTGCAACTGCTGTCTCCAATACTATGTACAGCTCTGGTCTCCCTAATTCAGCAGAGGTGAGGTTGAACTGCAGCAGGTGGGAGGAGGCCAATCCCTGTGATGGGGAGAATTGAGAGGCTGCTTTATGATAAATGCTGAGCTGTGCTCGCTGAGCCCAAGAATCAAGGAGTGCCATTGCAATCTTTACATAGCAGGCAAGGAAGAATGCTTTAAAGTGAAGTACAATGCTGGCACTTGAAGAAAGTAGGTAAACTGGCCAACAGTAATTTTAGGTAGTAAATCTGAAGTTTCTATGGCAACCAGTGAGTAAAGAATACTCAAAGGCAAAAACTGGTTGGTTTTAATATCGAGTTTGTCTTGTTTATGACTGACAGTGCTCATTGTTGTCATAGCAAGGAATTGGATGCATTGGCTCCCTTTGTATTGGGAATATGAACCCTGTGCTGGTGTTTGGCTCCGAGGCAGGATGGCGTGACCACCTGCGTACAACTCCCTTACACTCCCATAAAGGGCACTTGTAACCTTACTTTCTATGGAAAAAAAAAATGTCTGGATTGGTGCTAACTCCTGACCCGAATGAAGGGGCTGTTTGGGAGTATTCGTGCTGGCCTTGGGGACCATCCTGGCTATAGAAACTGTGGGGAGCTGCAGCCCTTGGGCACATGCCAAATCCTGGTTCATTTATGTAATGGGTTCCAGAGATTTCTGCGGTTCCTTGCTGCTTGTTAGGAGCTGAGAAAATTCCCCATATAATATTGTAGAGGTCTCCATACCTCGGTAATACTGACATTATTGAGACTTTCGCTATTGTTTTGATTTCTAAAATGTGAATATTGTTTCCTGTGGATACTTCAAAAGATAGTAAATGTGGGCAAGAAATATGTAATAAAAAATGAAAAAAAAAATCATTTAAACTTTATGAAGAAAATTAGAATTAAGTTCTACTCCAGATCAGAAATTTTACAGAGAGCTGGAAGGTCTCAGGAAAATAGTGCTGTACATTTGCTGCTGTTACTTCGTCTTCACACAGGTGCTGTTATCTGCTTTTGGAAGTAGGATAGCAGATTAGACACCGCAGGAGAGCTAATTTTTCTTTAAAACAAATGCAGTGATTGTAATCTTACAAATGTCATACAGCATAAAAAGGGGATATCTTCACGTACTTATAAAATAATCTTAAACCCTTTTTGTGTCATAGATCTTACTGGAGTTTACTAAGTTACAGAGGAGAATACTGGAGAATGGTTCACAGGTGGGGAAAGCACAGTGTGTCCGTTTCAGTGTATTCCCTTAATTAGAGAAAACTTTTAATTATATAGCCGGTATATGAGTTGACAGAAATGGCAAAAGAACAATCCGATATTTCTTTTTGCAAGTGATAATAGGACAAGAAGCAACAGTTTCTTAGCAACAAACTGGAAATTTTGCTAGATAATGTTTTTATCTTACTGAGATTTGTATATACCATGTTTCAAGAATTATTCTAAAGTAAACAACTTTTTTCTGTGTTTCTTTTTTAGGTTAACATTCCTTCATGTTTGTATCCACCTGGAGTGGGATTTTTTTGTATGTTTTTGGTAGGTTGGTTTTATTTGGTTGAGTTGTTATTTAGTTTCTTTTTGAAGAGTAGCTTTAACAAAACATCCACCTTTGCCTTATAGGCAAACCAGCTCTTGTCTGTTTCATTCTCTTGAAGCAGCATTTCCACTTCAGGAACTTTATCTAGACTGTGAAAACCAAATCTGTCATGCTTCTAGTGAAGCCAATGTACCGTGGTCATTAATTAAAAATAAAAAATAGGAGATAGTGGTTTAAGTGTGAAACAAGGAGATTGGGAGAAATGTATGGTTAATGCATTAGATGGAACATCAAAGCTGCATTTTGGAAAGGTTGGGTGAACTTCAAGAGCCATTTTGGTGGTGGAGGCACTACATCCGGAGGAGGGAGGCACTGCAGCTTTGTGGAATACTAAATCAGCATTAGAAAAAGGAAATGTTTATTATAGAATTAAATGGTTTTCTTTATTCTTTTAATGAATTTTTAAAAATGAAATATTCTATTAAAGATTAGTCTACCAAAAAAAAAGGCTAAAAAGTTACTTCAAGGTGGGGGGAAAAAAGGAAGAGTTGACTCAGGATGTATTAGGTTTTTTATTTTCTAAAATAATCCAAAAATATTCTTTTTTTTTTTTTTTTGACTTGGCCGTAGACCACAGTGCGCACTCTTTCTTTGAAACCATTTCTTGGCAGGTTCCTTTGTACCCTTCAAACCAGGTCTTTCACTTTCCAATGGATTTAGACATTGAAACACATAGAGACATGATGTATTTTCGAATTCTCTGTGAATAATATGATTTACACATTAGTTCTTTGGGAATGGGTAACAGTTAAAGGAAGAATCACAAGCTTTTTGGTGCAGTGTCCAAAATGTAGACACCTAACTGTGGGGCAATGAAGCCCAAGAAAAGGATAGCAAAGGTAAGAAAAAAGGTGGAGTAGAAATGAGTCTTCACTGTAGGCTGCCAAGTATGTCAAAAGATTAAAAAAAAAAAAAAAAAAAAAAAAGCATTAATTTAAAAGCATATATTAGTGGAGGGACCTGCTTTATGCTTATGAAACCAAAGATTTCTTATGAGAATAAATGTTTTGGAAAGAGTCCTGGGAGAGGCCTGGGGCATGGGAAAAGCCTCCCAGGACACTACTGGAGCCAAGGGCATCACGGCCATGGAAAGGGGCCCTGTAGGGCCATGGTGGAGGAAGGGGAGCTCTTGGAGACTGTGGCAGTGGAGAGGGATCCCTGTGGAGGCTGCAGTGGTGGAAAGGGGCCCCACAGAGCCCATGGTGGAGGAAAGGGATCCCCGTGGAAGTCCTGGCAGGGGAAGGGTAAAAGGGGATCCCCATGAGGCCATGGCAGTGGAAGTGGACCCCTAGGGAGGCCGTGGTTGTGGAAAGGAAGCCCACAGAGGCCATCATGGTGGAAGGCAAACTCCTTACAGCCAAGGCCAGGGAAGGGTAAAAGGGGATACCCCTGGAGGCCGTGGGAGGGGGCTCTGCGGAGGCCACGGAGCTGCAATGAGATCCCAGTGGAGGCCATGTCAGGGAAGGGGGCTCCGCAGAGGCTGGCGGTGGAAGGGGAGCCCCTGGCGCGGGATAGGGGCGGCGCGGCGGGGCCGCGCTGCGCTGCGCTGCGGGCGGCGCTGTCCGCGGGGGCCGCCCGTGGCGGGACGG